ATATAAATTGTGATTTTAAAAGAAATGTGATGCTTTTTTTTTGGACAATACAGGTGTTTTTTGGAGTATCTAGGAAAATTTTTGACTAGTTAATTATTTTTTAAGATTAAGATTAGTTTTCGGGGTTTATGTCATGGGTGAGTGGTGTAATTTGAACCCCCAGGTGGTTATCATTTTTACAGTGTTAGTTTTGGGGTGGATCAGGGGATAAGATGTTTTCTAACTGTGTTTAAAGTGATGAAGGTTGCAGTTCTAAGAGTTTCAGGTGGGGTTTTGTTCCAGTTTTTAGGGCCCTTTGAAATAAATTGAATTTTGAAAAGGGTTTTTAGTCAAACAGGGGGAATGCCCTAGAGTGTTTGTGTCGGGTTTTATGCCTGTGGATCCTGCAAAAACTATCAAAAACGTTTTGGTAAAGGGTTTAAAATTTTGGGAAATTTAAGCCTTAGATTAATTGCCAGTAGTAATGTGGATGTTCTGAACAGGGAGAAATTTTTAGATCTAGAAAGCGGGGGGTGTTTTGCCAGGGATGGGTTTTTATGTTTATCTTACTGGGCTTTTTGTTGGGTTTTTAATTGGTTTTGGTTGTTCTGCAGTTGAACCCCAAGCCAGTGCATGGGTGGGTAGGGATATAAAAGTGATGGTATAGGTGAGAAGGCAGTTTGCGGCATTTTAGTATCGTATCTTGGGAGGATCCCCCCCGTTTTGGATACTTTTTTTTTTTTGTTGGATATGGGTGCTGAAATTTAGGTTGTTGTGAGGTATAGGCCGGAATTGGCCCTCATTGTCTGGAAAAATTAGGTGTTGTCGATTTTTAAATGTTAAGTTCCGCAGACCTGCTCTGCTACCAAACTAAATAGTAGGCTTGCCGGTTAAGGAAATTTTATTGGCTTCATCCAAGTCGATATTTTGAGCAGCTCCTGAAAAAACAATGGTGTTGAGGGTGAAAGATCAGGGGGGGGAGATGAAAAGTCGTGTCTCGAAAGAGAATGGGTTTAGGTTTTGGGATATGTTTGGAAGACATTGATGTAAATGGGAAGAGCGGGGCCCAAGGGAACTTCCCTGCGAACCCCCATACAAGGGGCTGTATTGAGGAGGCTGTGCTTTAAGGGTGACATACTGATACCTATTAAAAGGTAGGATTTAAAAGCAAGGCTGGCCTCTTATACCTAGTGGTCAAGTTTGTGGAGTGGGATCCCATGGTCTACGTGTCAAACGTTTTTCTTAGGCATAAAAATTCCTAGCGGATTTTCCTTTTTTTCCCAAAGCGGAAAAGCAGCTCTGCTTTTTTATAATTGCTCATTAGTTTTTTTTTTTTTTCCTAACCCAAAATTGGGCAGGGGTTGAGTATTTTTTGGGGGATTATAATAAATTAAGTCTCCTGTGCACGATTTTTCTCGAAGATTTTGGATAGCAATGGTAAGTTTGATTTTGGGCCAATAGTTGTTTACGTTGTGGGATCCCCCCTTTATGTATTGGTTAACCCCTTGCTGTTTTGGTAGTTGGGAAAAAGTGCTAGTTTCTAGGATTGTTAAAAAGAATGTAAAAAGCAAAAAGGGCATGGGGGCCCCCGCTTGTACAATAAAAGGTGGGACGTGGACCCATTCCCCCAGTTATTTTTTTAAGTACTTTTTGATCACGGTGCTTCCGGGGGTCAGTTGGTACAAGACAGAAGGAATCTGGAAAATTCCATCCCAGGTAGTCCCTGGCACGGGGGGTTGGTCATGGTTTTACTGGTGAGATTTTTCCTGTTTGAGAAAAGTCGTTTATCTTGTTAGCTGTATCATGGGATGCAGTGGTGTTTTCATGAGGTTTTTTTAAACAAAATTCTTGTTTTTTTTCAGTTTGTGAGTTCCCAGAATCTGGGAAAGTGTTTTCTATCTTTTTTATATCTCCTTGTTTCAGGAAACTGTGGGGTAGTAAGTTTTTTGGCTTTTTATTAATTTGGTAAGAATTGCTGAAATTGTTTTTAAAATTTTAGTTTAAGCCCTGTATATTGCTTTTCAATTGGGTTTTTTCAATGGTTTTTTAGAATGCGCTGGGTTTGCCATGGGCCCAAACCGTTTATTCGTGATTTTTCGTTTTTTAAGGGCAATTTTTGTTGTATAGTCTAAAATATTTTTGTTTAAAAAAAATGTCTGTCCAATCTCAATCCATTGGGACGGAATTCTGTAGGCCAGTCAACAGTCCTGGCTGTGTGAAATTCCTTTTTGAGGCCCCGCCCCGGAGTCTAAAAAGTTTTTTTTGATTTGAGTGGTGGGTTACTTGTTTGTTAGGGATGGGTTTGGGGAGGGTCGGTTTTGGTCTGTGATTTTCCCGATTTAAGGGGGGCTTTATATTGGTCCTAGTGGTTATTTGTTTTTATTGTCTGTCAGCCTGGTTGGTTTTTTATTGTTGGTATGGAACGTGTTGTTTTTATTGTTGATGAAATCAGTTACAGTCTGATCATGTGGTGGGCCAAGGTTTTATGAAGTCTCCAGAAGAGAAGGTGGTGCTTGTTCTTTTGTCTGTTTTTTATTAGTGACTTTAGATTCTCACTGGGGGTTTGGGATGTTTGTGTGGGGGGATCCCCGGGATTGGCACCGATTGTTAAGGCTCTTGAGGTTTTTTACAGTAAAATTAGCAAAAAGTATTCCCCATATTCTCACAAAAAAATTAAATGCAATCAAGTATTGGTTAGAGTAAAAGATTGCAGTCCACCCCCAATTGGTATGGTCTGCAGTTGGGTTGCTTTCCTGGGGAGTGGGGTAGATTCCCAAATTTTGTCCCCCTTAAGCCAGGTCTCAGTAAAAATAGGGAGGGAGAAGGGTTTTTCTTTAGGACTCAAGGGTGCCCGGAGGGAAAAGTGTTTGCTTAGGACCTGATGTTTTAGTTTTTAAAACTATGGCTTTGAGCAGGTTCAGGTGTGCTGGCTTGTGGTGTGTAATAAAGGGGATTACTTTCCAAAAAGTTTTTTTTGTGTTTAGATTATGGAGGTTTAGATCAGGGCAAATGATCATTCTCTTTTTAGGTTTAAATAGTGGTTGTTTATTTTCCTGATTATTTGGCGAGTTCAAAAAATGATTTCTGTGTGGTGGGGGTTTGCTTAAAATATCCGCTAAAGCATTTTGGGCAATGAGTTTAAATCATAGGTAAATTCAAAAAGCTAAAGAAAGTCATTTTAAAAGAAAAGGAGAATTCTGTGACAACCTTTTTTTTTTTTTACTAATTATAAATTTTTTAACCCTACTTAATTCTATAAGTATTGAATATCTACACTCTGACACTGGTGTAGGATTTCACAGTTTTCCCCAGGATGGGGGGTTCTTGTCCTTGGGGGGTGCTATCTCCTTACAATGCTTTCCTGACTAAAAATAAGGGATATCTTTCATTTTAAAAAGGTGGGAAATTTTTCTTCATTTAAAAAATTTAAAAGACATGGAATGAACTATGGATATTTGGGTGGTGGAATGTGAAAAATATTTTAAAATTTTTTCTGGTTTTGTGATTCAATTTATGTGTATGCGAGTGAATTTTCCATGAGTGTAACAAGCGTTAAAGAGTGTAAATTTTTTGTAAAGCAGAATGTGTTTAAAAATGATGAAAACCACCATAAAATTTAAAAAAAAAAAAACATCAAATACTTTACATTTAAAGAAAATTTCACAAACCCTTGGGAGGAAAAATAGCCATTAATGAAAACTACATGGGGCCCCCCCCCCTAAAGATGGCATACAAGCGATTTTTCCGCATACCCCCTTTTTTTTTATCGCAAATTTTGCCGCGCATACCGATTAAAACCCCCTCACCCCAATTTTCGTCCCGAGCCGTCAATGTGCCCTCAGCCAGCCTCACATGTGCCGCCCGTCCCATTGTTTACCAGCCAGCCTCCGCGGTAACATCCAAGCATACACTCGGAATATTTCGTATTATTACAGTGTTTTCGGTGCTGTTTCTGGAAAATAAGTGACCATGGGCCCCAAGAAAGCTTCTAGTGCCAACCCTGTGGTAAAAAGGGTGAGAATTAGTATGGAAATTAATAAAGATTTTGAAGGGTTTGGGGCTAACCCTGAGAAGCCTATGCCAGTTGTGGAATCCACTGTGCCTACTTCAAAGATTAAGGAAATGTGTGCACAGTGGGTTGAACTGCAAACCTTTATGGATGAAAATCACCCTGACACAGCTGTTGCAAGCCGTGCTGGTGACTATTTCAATGACAATGTTGTGGCCCATTTTAGACAAATCGTAAAGGAACGGGAGGTACAGAGCTCTATGGACAGATTTGTTGTGCGACAGAGGTCCAGTGACTCTCAAGCTGGTCCTAGTGGCATTAAAAGAAGAAGGGAAGTAACCCCGGAAAAGGACTTGCTACCTCAAGTCGTAATGGAAGGGGATTCCCCTTCTAAACAGTAAGAAGATAATGCTCTCCCCTCCTCCCATCCCATCAATCATCACCAGATCTTCAATAAAAGTAAGTGTCATGTAAGTGTGCATGCCTTTTTCAGTTTGTGTGTATTAAAATTAATATTTCATGTGGTAAAAAAATTTTTTTTTCATACTTTTGGGTGTCTTGCATGGATTAATTTTATTTCCATTATTTCTTATGGGGAAAATTCATTCACATAACGATTATTTCGCATAACAATTACCCCTCTTGCACGGATTAAAATCGTTAACCGGGGGTCCACTGTATAAGTAAAAACAAACTTTCACAGAAATGATCACGGTAAGCATGGAAGCAAGTAGAGAGTAAAAAGAGAATGCAGAAACTGGAACGATAATGAAATAGACCTCCACATGGTACTCTTAACGTGTAACCAAAATAAAAGAACCATAAGCAGGGACAAAAGAGTTACCTGCTGTAATTCTATTGGGTAACACAATGTTTCCTTAAAGTAAAATACATGGTATACCAGTAGCAGGGACAGAAAGTCTGTGGCTTATCAGGGTAACCCTAGCCATGGGTGAGGAAGATTTAATATATTAGATAGTCACATGGTAATCTTAATGTGTAAATGTAATACCTTCTGTGATGTCCTCGGGTCACTCTTTGACACAACAACTCCAATGGTGACCCAGTCTCCCTCAATGTCTCCACCACGAAGGTGTAGACAAATAGTGGTCATGCGCACCATTTTTCGTCCTTCCATTCTCTCACGCATCATATCTCCTGACACTAAAGGATTACTGGAAAGGAAAATTACATGCTGATGAAAAGGCCCTACAAATCTGTGAACATACAGAAGCAGTATATCTATTTTTAATTGAACTGCAGTTAAAGATGCTGATTTAATGTTCTCAATAACACTATTGAAATCTTAACAATTACATGACTCACAAAATCGTAATGACACGATTGCAAACAAACCATACCATGGGCGGGGATAGAACCCGCAATCAGAGAGTCTCAAAACTTTAGACCGTCGCCTTAGCCACTGGGCCAGCTAGCCACAATAAGATTCATCCAACTAGGTATATTTCTACACCATAGGAAGGTTAGCATAGGCACCACTGTGACCATGTTAGCTGGAGATTCATCTGTAAAAACTTGCATTTATCACAGTGGTGTCTATGCTAACCTTCCTATGGTGTAGAAATATACCTAGTTATTATTTTTTAAATACACTACCTAACAGAATCACTACCTAACTGAATGCAACCATATGACCTGTCTTTGTAATACTCACTTGTGCTTTATAGTTATCTGTTTACATTAATGTTTTATCACTGATTTCATCATTGCTTAGTAGCAGCGCTGTATAGTCCTTGTGGCTTAGCGCTTCTTTTTGATTATAATAATAATAATAATCATTGCTTAGTTAATCTTAAGTTAATTTTAAGCCAGCCCGTAATGCTATGCATAGTATAAGTGGCTTTGGCATACTGCTCTTATCTGTATTTTTTTGTACCTCTGTATGTGTGCACAAATTGGAAATAAATAAATAAATAAATAAATAAATAAATCTTATTGAGGCTAGCTGGCCCAGTGGCTAACACGACGGTCTGGAGTTTTGAGACTCTCTGATCGCGGGTTCTATCCCTGCCCGTGGTATGGTTTGTTTAACAATTACATATTTCCATTTAAACTAATAAATATACAGGTATTTGAAAACACATCAAGTACTTTGTTTACTAACACTAGAAGAATACAAGATTAATAAAGTTTTTACTCCCTGTAGCTAAATATTAAAATTGCTAATATAGTAAAAATAATATCTATATTTTTTTGCTTTTAACTGTCCCATACATACAGTATCTCTTACATTTAAAGCAAGGATAAATAAGTCTGGAGAATGGCAAACATTGATGACAGACACCATCAATCTTAAGAGGCAAACTAAAGGGTAAGGAGTACACCTGGTCCCCATAGAAAAAAGCAGTTTCTGTCTTGTCTGTTCTTACCTGGAGTTTACCTGGAGAGAGTTCCGGGGGTCAACGCCCCCGCGGCCCGGTCTGAGACCAGGCCTCCTGGTGGATCAGAGCCTGATCACCAGGAGAGTCATGGCAAAATTCACAGTAGGCTTAACTAACTAAGATATTTAGCTTTAAGAGTGTATGTTAAGATAAGATTTGTTAGGATTTTTAACCCAGAGAGTTAGCCGTCCAGGATAACCCAAGAAAGCCAGTATGTCATCGAGGACTGTCTGCCTTATTTAGATTAAAGGTCCTTCCATCTTGTTCCCAAGGATGTGACCACACCAGTTGATTAACACCCAGGTACCTACTTGCTGATAGGTGAACAGGGACAGAAGGTGTAAGAAAACATGTCCAACATTTCTACCCGTGTTGGAGATCGAACCCCGGGCACTCAGTGTGTGAGCCAAGAGCGTTCCCAACCAAGCCATGGGACACATGTTGTCTCCATTACAGTGCAATCAAAGAGAAGAAAAAGAAATTGTACAGTTTGGCAACATGTGATAAAGAATCCATACAGGAAACCCTATTAACTTCTCTAATTTCTGTTACTATACCATACCTAGTTATACTAGGGTCCAATGGCCAATAAAGATTATTATTACTGTTTTGATAATAAATATATACCCTCTTCCTTATGCCCTTCAAGCAAAAATTTGTATTTTGTACCCACCCATCTTAATGTACAAAATGTGTAACTAAGGAGGATACTTACATAGCTAGACATTAAAACTCCCAAGATAACCATAACTATTTGATAGACTAATTTTGTCTGTTTTGTTACTTTATAGCAAAGCCTCAATAGAAGTTTGGAATAAATGAATGTAACAAGAGTAAAATGTTTAAAATATTCAATGATTTCCAAAGTAAAAGAAACAATTTATTATTTACATTTTCTGTTTGGTATTATAGTACGTATTTACTATATAAGTACATACATGTAATGGGCGATGAAATATGCTCCATTTAAAATTTTCATAATGCTTTTTCTACTTCTATACTCAGCCAAAGAAAAATACAATAAAAACTACTTACACAATTCTTATTCCTGAATACTGGTCAATGGTGCAATTTCTATCATTCTCTGGTGAAGAGATGCCTGCAGCCTTCAAAGATACCAAAGACCCATTGACCTGGTTCCAACCTTTATCTTGTGATTTTCCTTTAACTCTTGCTAATATTTCATCTTTATGATCATTACGAGTTTGACTAGGCTCGTGAGAAATACGCTTCTTAATTTCACGTCCACAACTATTGTAGCGTTGTTCAAAGGGGTTTCGATGGTCTTCTTCATCCTCAGAATCTGTGTCACCACTATGCAATTCACTCTTTCGTTTAAGCTTCTTGTGCAGCTGTGATTCTTCCTCGGCAGACAGCTCTCTTACAGTATGATTTGCTATATGGCTAACACTAGTCAATTTAGTAAATTTTTTACTTGAAGATTCCTCGTTTAAGTCAAATTTCTTTTTTTTTGTTAACTGTTCCCGAAGAAGCTTCATACGTTCTTCCATTTTCTGCAACTCTGCTTCTAATGGGTCAACATCATCTCCACTTTTGTTTGAAAGACCAGAGAAACCAGAAACAAATTTTGACTTAGAAGTGCCAGATGTTGTAGGAGATTCTTCATCATCTGACAACACAAGACCTAAATCAGCCATACTAGTAGTATTTGTAGCATTGGGCTCAAATTTATCAACATCCTCCTCAAATTCAGAATCAACATTCAACAAGGCAGCAAGGGCATTAAGATCTTCTGATTCAGTTACTGGCTCCTCTTCTCCTGTTACATCTTTTTCCTCTTCTTCTTCATCAAGTAAAGCAGTCAATGTCTCCAAGTCATATTCTGTGGTATAACAAAATACTGAATTATGTAAGACTTTCAGTTTATAGAAGCAAAGCTGCGTAATTTTTTTTAAAATCAGGACATGATAAAAAAGTTCAGTACAATATTGTCATTATTATATCCATGGGGAAGCAATGAACCTATAGGGGTTAAACAGTGTCTGTCAAGAGTGCAATATTTCAAGCTAGTTTGTTCTTTACTTTGATAATGCACAGAAGTATATATCGCACATATAAGTTGCCTCATTTATTCAAAACTAATGAAATACTGTACTGTTTACATGCATGTATGTGCAATTTTATGTTACAATAAAACCTCTCATTAATCGATTTTGGCAATTTCAAAAAAAGTCTGCTAACTCCAACATTTGTTCGGTATGGGCCAAAGCACCTACGTCAAGGATGTGACAGAATTTCAAGCAGCTGATGGTTGGCTTTGGCACTTCCATAATTGCCATGGCTTAAGTAATGTGAAGACTTATGACCAGGGTGGTAATGCTCCCATGGACAAAGTTGAGCCGTTGAGATTAATGCTAAATGATCTGACAGACACCAAAAAGTGCCTTCTGAGCCATCTACATTATTTTCACTAGTAAAGATTCACAGCTCCTCAGACAGAATAAAAGATATTCTGAGTCACCACTATCAATCACAACAGTTTGTACCTCATATCTCCACCATGAAAAGGCACTAAGAAAAATTACTATAAATTATGTAGAGCATGCACTACAAAATTACTAAACAGTACAATATTCTAATATAATAGGTTAAAGTACCAGTATTCTCAGTGTCTGCTTGTCTTTTGCATCAGCAGACCAAGTCCACTACTTCAGAAGACAATTGGAAAAGTTTAGGAAGACCTGAAATTATTCAAAATCTTTCATCTCATCCATTGTCAACCACAGAAACTGAAGCCCTCAGCTTAGGCCTCAAATTCGCAACAGGAGTTACGAAACCAAAACAAGACCTCAATTTCATTGCCAAAAACTACAGACACAATGACTCCGACTTCCAAAAAGGCTATCTTCAAGGCATCATCTCAGCAGCCATCTCAACACGCAGCTCCCCAGTCATACCTCGACGTTACATCAATGCACTCAAAGGTTTAGCAGAAGACACGACCATCAGGGTCACCACCGCTGATAAAGGAGGTGGTGTTGTTATCATGAACACTGACGATTACAGGAACAAAATGCTCAATCTACTTAATGACCCAGATACCTACAAACCTCTCACAACTAACCAAGTGGACAACCTTACTAAAACTTTTCTTCAAAGGACTCGCTGCATTCTGAGGGGCTCAGAACAAGGGAAGAAACTTCTGCACACCATCCTAAGCAACCCCAGACCTGCCAGAATGTACGGCCTGCCAAAAACTCACAAGCCTGGTATCCCACTGAGGCCCATATCCTCGGGAATAGGCAGTGCTCCCCACCAGCTCTCAGGAATTCTCGCAAAACACCTCTCTAAACTCTTGGGCACTATCAGTCCAGCACATCTCAAACACTCGGGTGATCTTCTCAATCGCATTCGCAACATCAACATCAGGAACAAGAAACTTTCCAGCCTTGACGTGACTTCCCTATTCACCAAAGTACCTACTACACAAGCCATCGATCTCTTGCGCAGGAAAATTGACGATTCACTTGATCTTCCCATTCCAGCCAGCGATTTCATCGACCTTGTTGAACTATGTGTTGGCTTTACGTGTTTCTCTTTCGAAAATCACCTCTTTCAGCAGACTTTTGGACTACCCATGGGTTCGCCACTCAGTGCGGTCTTGGCGAACCTATACATGGAACATCTAGAAGCCGAACGTTTCTCCACCATTATTCCTTCGTCTGTCACCTGGCTCCGTTATGTTGACGACATTCTCCTCATAACTCCTAAACGCTTCAACGTTCAAGCTCTCCAAGACAAGCTCAACCAGGTCGAGCCTTCAATCCAGTTCACACTTGAAGAAGAAGTCGACAACACTCTTCCTTTCCTTGATGTCCTGCTCTGCAAAGCTGACCACGAACTTCGTTTTAAAGTCTATCGAAAACCCACCAACCAAAACGATCTTCTCCACTTCTACTCTCACCACGACACCAAAACCAAACGTGGTGTAATTATAGGCTTCTTCCTGCGTGCACTCAGAATCTGCAGCAATGAGTTCCTTGAGGAAGAATGCACTATAATTGAACAAGTATTTTCTAAACTCCACTATCCTCGTCACTTCATCAGAGACTGCAGACGGCGGGCATTAAACATCTTCAACACACCCAGAGAAGACACTGCTGAGAAGAGATACATAGTCCTCCCCACCAACTCCATTGCCAAACATGTTTCCAACATCTTTTCCAATACATCATTCCAAGTATCTACCTCCACAACCACGACCATCAAGGACATCACCAGTAGTAGACAGGACAAGCCTCCATCCTCTGCAGGGGTATACATAATCCCTTGTAATAACTGCAACAAATTATATGTGGGCGAAACATCAAGAGACCTCCAAACACGTATTTCAGAACACCAATATGCAAGCAGGACTGACGATACAAGGAATGCCTGTGTACAACATCGCAATTCACACAACCATTTAATTAACTACAGAAACTCAAGACTTATCGCCACAGAAGGCAACACTCAATACCGAAGAATCCTGGAATCATCGCTTATCTCTATAACCAACAATTTCAACCAGAACAACGGCTTCTATAACATAGCTGAACCACTCGCCAAGAAACTTCTTCATCGCTATCCCACATAAGAACATAGAACACTGCAGAAGGTCTACTCACAACTTGTCCAATACCCCCGCCAAGCTACCCAAGACTCTATAACTCCACCCGGTAGATCATCAGATGCAGCATTCTCCACCTGACCTCAACATTCTGAACATGACTATAAATACTCCCGTACCTTCCACCCCAGGTAGATCTGTGTGTGACTTGAAAAAGCCCACTGTGTGGGTGAAACGTTGTCAATAAAGGATCACATTATACTGCATATGTGTTTATATTTCCACTGTGTCGGTATTTGATACCATTTATTTCCATAGCTGAAATTATAAGAAGCCATCTCGATAAGCATAGCTTGATTAATGATACTCAGCATGGATTCACAAGAGGCCGGTCTTGTCTAACTAATTTATTAACTTTCTTCAGTAAAGCTTTTGAGGCTGTTGACCACGATAAAGAATTTGATATTATTTACTTAGATTTTAGTAAGGCTTTTGATAGAGTTCCGCACCATAGACTGTTAAAGAAAGTGGCAGCTCATGGCATTGGGGGAAAAGTGCTCTCGTGGATCGAGTCATGGCTCACTGACAGGAAGCAGAGAGTGTCCATAAATGGGGTTAAATCCGAGTGGGGATCTGTAACAAGTGGCGTTCCACAGGGATCAGTCTTGGGCCCGTTGTTGTTTATAATATATATCAATGATCTTGATGAGGGAATTACCAGTGATATGAGCAAATTCGCCGATGACACAAAGATAGGTAGGATAATTGATTCAAACGTAGATGTTATGGAACTTCAGGAGGATTTAAACAAACTCTATTCTTGGTCAGAAAAGTGGCAGATGCAGTTCAATGTAGATAAATGCAAGGTTCTGAAGCTTGCATACAGATTGCGAAAAGGACTTGGGGGTTATGGTGAGCAGCAACCTTAAACCAAGACAGCAATGCCTAAGCGTACGTAATAAGGCAAATAGATTACTGGGATTTATATCAAGAAGTGTAAGCAACAGAAGTCCAGAGGTCATACTGCAGATTTATACATCATTAGTAAGGCCTCACCTAGATTATGCAGCTCTGTTCTGGTCTCCATATTACAGAATGGACATAAATTCGTTAGAAAACATTCAGCGTAGGATGACTAAATTAATACATAGCATTAGAAATCTTCCTTATGAAGAAAGATTGAAGACTCTTAAGTTACATTCACTTGTTAGACGAAGAATGGGGGGAGACCTGATCGAAGTGTATAAGTGGAAGATAGGTATTAATAAAGGGGATATTAATAAGGTCTTGAGGATGTCTCTCCAAGAGAGAACCCGCAGTAATGGATTTAAATTAGATAAGTTTAGATTTAGAAAGGACATAGGAAAGTATTGGTTTGGAAATAGGGTAGTTGATGAGTGGAACAGTCTACCTAGTTGGGTTATTGAGGCTGGGACTTTGGGTAGTTTCAAATTTAGGTTGGATAAGGACATGAGTGGGAGGGGTTGGATTTGAGTGGGACTTTCACATCAGAGCTTATTTCTTGGGTGGCATTGAAAATTGGGTTGGGCAAATGTTTTGTTAGTGGGATGAATTGTAAAGGACCTGCCTAGTATGGGCCAACAGGCCTCCTGCAGTGTTCCTCCTTTCTTATGTTCTTATGTTCACCTTTTTTTCCTTCCCTTTCCCTCCTCACTTGTGGCAAGTACTTTACAAGGACCCCAATGGAAGTATGTCACTTTTGTGTAACTTTTAGGGTTATCCTAGGTAATTTACACATACATGTATGTAAATCTATGTATGTGTACGGGTACTTAAATAAACTTATTTATGCATTTCTATGGTTCACTGACATTATCCATCCATGACAGGATGGATAATGAGAACCTTCAAAACAAGGGATGCCAAGCCCATGATGACACTCTTCAGGTAGCTTGTTCTATCTAGGCTGGAATATTGCTGCACACTAACAGCACTTTTCAAGGCAGGTGAAATTGCTGATCTAGAAAATGTACAGAGAACCTTCACGGCACTCATAACTGTGATAAACCACCTTAATTACTGGGAACGCTTAAGTTCCTAAACCTGTACCCCCTAGAATGCAGGATAAGATAAGATTTCGTTTGAATTTTTAACCCCGGAGTGTAAGCTACCCAGGATAACCCAAGAAAGTCAGTGGGTCATCGAGGACTGTCTAACTTATTTCCATTGGGGTCCTCAATCTTGTCCCCCAGGATGCGACCCACACCAGTCGACTAACACCCCAGGTACCTATTTGCTGTTAGGTGAGCAGGACAACAGGTGTAAGGAAACGTGTCGGAATGTTTCCACCCGCTGGGAATCGAACCCAGGCCTTCCGTGTGAAGCAGGAGCTTTAGCCACCAGGCCACGGGGGAGAGATACATGATTATATACACCAGGAAAATCCTAGAGGTAATTAGTACCAAATTTGCACATGAAAATCACTCCCTATGAAAGCAATAGACTTGACAGACGGTGCAACATCCCTCCAATGAAAAGCAAGGGTGCCACTAGCACGATAAGAGATAACACAATAAATGTCAGGGGCCCAAGACTGTTCAACTGCTTCCCAACATACATCAGGGGGATTACCAATAGACCCCCAGCTGTCTTCAAGCAGGCACTGGACAGGCACCTAAAGTCAGTACCTGACCAGCCAGTCTGTGGTTTGTATGTTGGATTATGTGCGGTCAGCAGTAAAAGCCTGGTTGATCAAGCCCTGATCCACCACGATGCCTGGTCATAGACCGGGCCACAGGGGCGTTGACCCCCAGACCTCTCTCCAGGTATACTCCAGGTAGGCTGATCTGGTAACAAATCCACTCTCAAATATCTGAACACATTTATTTCCTCCAGGCTTCCTATTATTATTACAATCAAAACTAAGCACTAAACCCACAAAGGCCCATGCTTCCTAATGTTCACTTTTTTTATAGCCCCACCTACAAATATATTAGACAACAATGGTTACATCACACATCCCTAAGGCCTACTTTTATTCTCCTGTATGATTTCTGTCTACCAAGTAAGTATTTTTATTTAGGCACAGGTACACATAAGTACAATTATCATACAGTGTAAATTACCTAGGATAACCCAACATACTACAGTATTAGTATTATTATATTCATGGAGAAGAGATTATCATTATAATAATCGTAAGTAATGAGGAATATATATGGGTCACATAGTGCCTGGGAACAGGAAGTAATTAGGTTAGCTCCAAGGAAGGAAAGGTTAGCTAAAGTTCCTTGGATCAAGAGCCCTTCACCAATATCAAGAGGTTCTCTCTGAAGGGTTTAAATCAATGGTATGTTCCCTTGCCTAGTATGTAATTTAAAATTACACCTAAATATATTTAGTAACAATAAGTAGAAATTGATAAACTTGGATACAATGTTACCCAGAATACATTTATACAGTGACTATTACCTGGTTCACAGTCTGCCATAGCTACTTCAGCAGTGCTCCTAATGTGTGGTCAGCAGTGCTCCTGATGTGTGGTCAGCAGTGCTCCTGATGTGTGGTCAGCAGAGCTCCTGATGTGTGGTCAGCAGAGCTCCTGATGTGTGGTCAGCAGTGCTCCTGATGTGTGGTCAACAGAGTTCCTGATGTGTGGTCAGCAGTGCTCCTGATGTGTGGTCAGCAGTGCTCCTGATGTGTGGTCAGCAGTGCTCCTGATGTGTGGTCAGCAGAGCTCCTGATGTGTGGTCAGCAGAGCTCCTGATGTGTGGTCAGCAGAGCTCCTGATGTGTGGTCAGCAGTGCTCCTGATGTGTGGTCAGCAGAGCTCCTGATGTGTGGTCAGCAGTGCTCCTGATGTGTGGTCAGCAGTGCTCCTGATGTGTGGTCAACAGAGTTCCTGATGTGTGGTCAGCAGAGCTCCTGATGTGGTCAGCAGTGCTCCTGATGTGTGGTCAGCAGAGCTCCTGATGTGTGGTCAGCAGTGCTCCTGATGTGTGGTCAGCAGAGCTCCTGATGTGTGGTCAGCAGAGCTCCTGATGTGTGGTCAGCAGAGCTCCTGATGTGTGGTCAGCAGTGCTCCTGATGTGTGGTCAGCAGAGCTCCTGATGTGTGGTCAGCAGGCTCCTGATGTGTGGTCAGCAGAGCTCCTGATGTGTGGTCAGCAGAGCTCCTGATGTGTGGTCAGCAGTGCTCCTGATGTGTGGTCAGCAGAGCTCCTGATGTGTGGTCAGCAGAGCTCCTGATGTGTGGTCAGGAGTGCTCCTGATGTGTGGTCAGCAGAGCTCCTGATGTGTGGTCAGCAGTGCTCCTGATGTGTGGTCAGCAGTGCTCCTGATGTGTGGTCAGCAGAGCTCCTGACGTGTGGTCAGCAGAGCTCCTGATGTGTGGTCAGCAGTGCTCCTGATGTGTGGTCAGCAGTGCTCCTGATGTGTGGTCAGCAGAGCTCCTGATGTGTGGTCAGCAGAGCTCCTGTGTGGTCAGCAGAGCTCCTGATGTGTGGTCAGCAGTGCTCCTGATGTGTGGTCAGCAGTGCTCCTGATGTGTGGTCAGCAGAGCTCCTGATGTGTGGTCAGCAGAGCTCCTGATGTGTGGTCAACAGAGCTCCTGATGTGTGGTCAGCAGAGCTCCTGATGTGTGGTCAGCAGTGCTCCTGATGTGTGGTCAGCAGAGCTCCTGATGTGTGGTCAGCAGAGCTCCTGATGTGTGGTCAGCAGTGCTCCTGATGTGTGGTCAGCAGTGCTCCTGATGTGGTCAGCAGAGCTCCTGATGTGTGGTCAGCAGAGCTCCTGATGTGTGGTCAACAGAGCTCCTGATGTGTGGTCAGCAGTGCTCCTGATGTGTGGTCAGCAGAGCTCCTGATGTGTGGTCAGCAGAGCTCCTGATGTGTGGTCAGCAGTGCTCCTGATGTGTGGTCAGCAGAGCTCCTGATGTGTGGTCAGCAGAGTCCTGATGTGTGGTCAGCAGGCTCCTGATGTGTGGTCAGCAGGCTCCTGATGTGTGGTCAGCAGAGCTCCTGATGTGTGGTCAGCAGTGCTCCTGATGTGTGGTCAGCAGAGCTCCTGATGTGGGTCAGCAGAGCTCCTGATGTGTGGTCAGCAGTGTCCCTGACGTAGTCAGCAATAACCTAACGTATTACCAGCAATCAGCACTATCCAGCAGTGATCCTGACATATGATCAACAGCACTTCCCACGTATGCTCAGTGATACCCCTGATCAGTGATCAGCAGTAGTCAGCAGTTATCAGCAGTGCATCACACCCTCACTGGCTTCACTGTTTACATTTAACGCGGGAAACTTCCTGTCTTCTCATCATTACGTATTTAAAAAAAAACGGGAAAACTTTCTCGAGATCAAACTCTGTGAAAAACATCCTATAAATCTCCTCTAGATCATTTTTCTGAACCAATATCGCATTTTATTCCCATTACCACGCCTTGCAAATACGAAGGCATTATTTTAAAAGGAGAAAATCTTTTCCTGAGAGTAATTTTGACTTTTTTTTTTCCAGATAAAAGGTATATTACTGGAACTTAGCATGTTTACATTTTGTCACTCAAAGGACATTTATCAGGAGGTTCAATTTCAGTGTCGTATGTGATATCGGTGGGACATTATCAAGCTCTTTATTATCTGTATGAGGACATGACGTTGGAGGATCCATTTTTTGTGGTCAAAGAGTAAGTGAAAGTTAAAAAATATTTTTGTTGCGTAGATGCCCAGGACACGTAGATTCCTTAGACTTACGTTAAGTAGGTAGGTAAATAAGTAAGTAGGTGAGTAAGTAAGTAAGTAGGTAAGTAAGTTTATTTAGGTACAGGTACGTATAAGTACAGTTATCATACATAGTGTAAATTACTTACGATAACCTAAAAATGTCAAAGTGATTTATTTTCTTTAGGGTCCTTGTTTTATCTTATTGCATTCCTATTGTCATATACGATAAGATAATTTTATTTCCCAGTTATATACATTACAACATTACAATAGCAGGCTATCAGTAAATGGTTAATCTTACAGGAAGTGCATAATTATGCATTGCTTTTCGGGCAGTGTAAAGCAGGACTGATGATGTACAAAATATGTAAGACATTATGTATATAATTACATCATGTAAAACAAATTTTACAGAAATATTGAGCATTTGATAAAGATTTTAAATTCATATTTACTGCTAAATTGTAAGAGTTTTCAAAAGAATTTAAAAGCAAATTATGATAGTAGTTCAAGAATGTAGGAACTGCAGTAGGCCTATTGGCCCATGTTAGGCAGGTCTAAATCACACCCACCTGTATACCCGTCCACCTTATATTTAAAGCTACTCGTCTCACTGAGTTCGATCCCCATGGTTCGATCCCCATGGTTCGATCCCCAGCATGGTGGCATGTTTCCTTACACCTACTGTTCCTGTTCACCTAGTGTACCTTGGTGTTAGTGGACTAATGTGGTTCACACCCTGGGGGACAAGATTAAAGAAGCCCAGGGGAAATAAGACTGATAGTCCTGAATGATGCATTGTCTTTCTTGGGTTATGCTGGGTGGCTAATCCTCCGGGTTAAAAATCCAAACAAATCTTATCTTATCTCGCCTCACTGACTCTACCTGGGTGTTTGTTCCACTTGTCTGCAACACTTTTGAAAAGCCATTAATTCCCTAATTCTTTCTAATTCTAAATTTGTCCAACTTGACTCCATTGCTGTGAATCCTGTTTTGGTTAGATACTTTCAGTATATAATTTATATCCCAGTTATGTATATTTCTGTTTTCCATTTGTACACTTAAATCATATTCTCCTCAATTCTATCTCTTTCCACAGAGTACAAATTCAGTACCTTCACTCTATCTTTGTAGGAAAAGTTTCTGATGCATGGGATCAACTTGGTCATCTTTCTCTGTACATGCTGTAAGACCCCTGCAGGTTTAGCTCTTAGTTTTATAATAATAATAATAATTTCTCTGTATATTTTCCTGTGCATTTATGTCCATTCTTTAATACAGAGACAAGACTTGAGCAGCATAATGTAAATCAGGCCATATCAAAGATATATAAGGTTGATATATAACCTTAGGACAAATATTACTATTTATACTTCTCGGTATGAAGTCAAGAATCCTATTAACTTTATTGCAGATGCTTATGCACTATTGTCTTGGCTTTAAATTTCTGCTACCCAGAACTTTTAATTTTTTTTTTCATAGCTATTCAGTTTGTTTAAGATCTGCATTATTTAGTTTGTATACCATAGTTATTTTATTTTCTTAAAATTAGAACCTTATGCTTGTCTGCATTGAACTGCATCTGCCATTTCTCTGACCTCAGCATCCACTTTATCTTAGCCTTCTCCTTCAGCTTACATCTGAAGAACCTTTGATCCTAGCACAAGTGGAAACTTTGGGCATGTTCCCATACACCTGTTTCTACTGTCCACCTAGCAGTAAATAGGTACCTGGGTGTTAAATGACTGTTTTTGGCATGGTGTTCAGAAATTTATTTTATTTATATTTAATGTTGGATAATGTACTTCTATGTTATTGAAATAATTATTTATACTATATACATATTTTATTACATAATATGGTACAGAAGATTTAAGAGTTACATTGTTGATATAAAGGTGGCATATAAGGTACATGTTGTTACATGTGTATCACCGATTATAAGGCGAAAATCTCATCCAGCTCCTCAGAGCTGGGGCGTGTGCCCAAAATACAGCAGGCATTACCCCTTTGAACAGCCGCACTGAGCGGCTGGAACAGAAAACTAGCTGCCCTGGGATCCCTAGTTACCCTGATGAGTCTTTTTCCCAGCTCCTTAAGGAATTTAGATGCACTCTTTCCCCATGAGCCAAGGGTCTCTGAGCCTATGGGAACAAACATATAATGATGGGCAAGTTCTTCATATTTTCTAGACTTTTGGGACTCCCTGAAGCTGGCAGCTGCCCCTCCTTCCTCCCTGGTGTATTGGAGATAGGTATCAGCCAAGGTAGATGCACATGTATAGTCCCACACCACCTGCTTCCCATCTGTCCAGGCTTGAAGGGTGATACCATCTGGACGCTTCTGGCTGCCATCAGATCTGCATAGTTGGGGTGGCTCCCTTACTGCTGGGCATCCAGCTGTTGTGAGGCTCCTCTTGATAATGTTATTAACCTCCTCATGTCTTGCAATCTTCCCCTCGGATTTATGGCACACAAGACCATGTTACCCGAATCTGTCTGCTGCTTCGCTGCCACAAATACACCTGCGTTCGACGAGAATAGGGGCGGCAAGTCGAAGGGCAACACCGATGCGGATGGTCTGTGGGTCGAGGCATGTGCCAAGGCTGGAGTTGGGAACAGCCAACAGAAAGTCCCCAGCATGAGGGGCTCTCACTGCCAGGAGGCGGGCTCTATCCTTCCCAGAAACACTCTGAAGCATTGAGGCTATATTTTCCACTATTGGACCATCTCAGTGCAATTGTTTGTAGTTGTTGGGGGGAGCAGGTCTGGTTTCAGAGCCCATTAGATTATCCCAGATCATTGCTCCATCAATGAATTTTTGGTCCTGGACTCCAATCTTGTCCCTAAGATGTTCAGGGAGAATCGCTGCTACAAGCTCTCTGGATGCAATACACGAGGACAGAAAAGCAGGTAACGCAATCTGTGACAACTTGCGGACACCAATGCCTC